TTCATTTGTTTCCTATGTTAGGATTTCATCATGTTCCTCAGCTCCTCTCTAGATTTATTAATCATGTCTTGCACTAGGAGCACAATTTCTCCTGTTATCTGAGAAATTATTTCTGATTTCATTTTTTCCAGATCCCTTTTTGGTGCCAGTTCAGTGGGTCCAGGTGGTTGAGTATCAGAGTATTCCATCTCATTTCCCTTTTGGTTTGCTGTAGGTGATCTGGAAGTCTTGTTTTGAGACTTATTTAAGTGTTTTCTCATTTCGACTGGGGGGAGCTTTTGGTGCCTCCTTTTGATTACCTCCTCTGAGCTGGGAGAGGTGGGACAAGGCCTGGGAGTAGCAATAGGGATGGTGGTCCAAAAGCCCTTTCCTCTGGGCTGGGATCAGTGGGACAGCAGCTCAGAAGCCCCCACCCCTGGGCCAGGAGTGGTGGCAGGGATAGTGGCCTGGAAGCCCCTTCCTCTGGGCCAGGAGCAGCAGGACAGAAGGTGGTTCAAAAGCCCTTTCCTCTGGGCTTGGAGCAGCGGGAGTGATGGTGGCCGAGAAGCCCCTTCCTCTGGACCAGGAGCAGTGGGACGGTGGCTCAGAAGCCCCTACCTCTGGGCCGGAAGCAGCAGGACTCAGTACTGTGGTCTGGTGGTCCGGTGTACTCTGCATCTTTGTAGTGTGGAACCAGATGGCTATACCTAGAAACTCATTTTTAAATGAAATATAAATGAATAAAACTTGTTGGTCACTTTAATATAATATTTTCAAATAATTTGTCTAGTGATAAAGAATCATAGTCATTTATATACTTTAGGTGGAGGTGTTAAATATACCATATTAAAATCTCAATAATCACTCAATACATATATAAGTATATACATATGCATAATACACACAATGTAGAAAATAGAAAAAGAAAAGACATTAAATATGAGGGATTTTTTCTGAAATTCCATCTTATTCTATTTCAAACTAGTCCAAAACTTGAGAAGGGTAATATATTAAATATATATATGTATATATATATATATATATGCATATGTGTATGTGTTTTGAATGTATTATCCATATATATTTTGAATATATTATCCTTCACAAGTTTTGAACTAATTTGAAACACTGTATGCATTAATTATATGCTGAAACCAAATCATTTATGTTTCCAACAAAATAAGTTTCATAACAAAACAAAATTTTCCATTATGGACAAACCTAGGGTTTCATTTGTTAAAATTTCTATTCCACATACTTTACTGAAAACATGAAAAATGTTTTCATGTATTTAGATAAGCAATAGTGTGTGTGTGTGTGTGTGTGTGAGAGAGAGAGAGAGAGAGAGAGAGAGAGAAACAGAGACAGAGACAGAAACAGAGAGACAGACAGACAGAAAAAGAGAGAAAGAGAGGTGCAAGCAAGAATTATGGATATTAGCTGGGGATTTAGCTCAGTGGTTCTGCTGCCTGCCTCACAAGTGCAAGGTGAGTTTGATCCCTGGTATGGTACCAAAAAAAAAAAGAATTATGGATATTAAAATATATCTAAATTTCATCAACCACTCTTACATAATAGAAAAATTGTTATAATTGTTATAAGTGGAGCAACATTCTTAACAATTGTCATCCATTAAAAAACTAAGTATAAAATTTGCTGGAAAATAAAGTGAAGGGTACTGAAGATTCAGCATCATAGAGAAAGTTATGAATGTTCTCTTATTTCACTCCTTCTTAAATTAAATTAATTAAAATCGATTTTACTTGTTTAAGAAATATTTAATTGGCAAACCTGAGACTCTATAACTTCAAAGTATGTATTTCCCCATCCATGAATTAACTATAAATAACATATGAGAAAGAAAACAAATATGTAGATCATATAGCACAATTATTAACTTTACTAATATCCTAGAAATTATTATTCAAAAATCTGATATTATTGTACATGTTTAGATTAAGATTTTTATTTTGGTAAGAATAGTTAACATGAGATATACTCACTTCAACAAATTTTTAAGAATATGATATTATGTGACTGACTAAGGGCATGTTGTTGTACAACAGACCTCTAGAGTTTATTCATCTTGCATAACTGAAGATTTATGTCTTTGAATACTAACTTCTTTTCCCCTTCTGTTAACCCTGTGAAAATGCGAGTTTCCCCTCTGCTGCTATGAATTTGACTATTTAAATAATTTCTATAGGAAAATTACTCAGTATATCTCCTTCTGTAAATGGCTTATTTAACTTAATGTAATATCTTCCAGGTTTATTTACAGTATACAATACATTATGGTAAAATCATTTTCTCTTAAGGCTAAATGGTATTCCTATATGTCATTTTCCTTATCCATTCATGCTTCAATGGATATTTGGGTTGTTTTCATATTTTGGCAATTGTGTATAATGTTACAATGAAATAAGTATGGCAGTATTTCTATATAAGTTTGATTTCAAATCTTTTGGGTAGATACCCAAATGGATTTCTCAGTCATAAGGTAGTTGTATTTTTAATTTTTTAAAAAACTTCCATAGTGGTTGTGCCACTTTTCAAACTCACGAGCAGTATACAGTGATTCCAATTTCTCCGTATCCTTATCATGCATTTTATATTTAATTTCTCAAATAATAGATAACAGGAATGAGATATTTCATTGTAGCTTTGATTTCACTTTCCTGATGATTAGTGATGTTGAGTATCTTTCCATGTACCTGTTGGCTGTTTTACACCTCCTTTGGAAAAACATGTATTTAATACCTCATGGGTACTTGGGTAACTTGTCTTTATTCTGTTTAGTTGAATAAATTTCATGTAAAATATTTTGGACACTAATTCTTTATGCAATGCTGATAGTAAAGTCAGACATAAGTCAGATACATCATTTATTTGTCCACTAAAAATCTCTTTTAAACCTGGATTGTCTTCTCTGCACCTTACTACTTATAACTATTTGAGTATATGAATATTCTTTTTTTTTAAGGAACAACATATCTTACGTGGTTGTAAACCAAAAATAAATTTGAATGGAGTCTTCCATCTAACCCTTATGTTGTTAGAAGTTGCAAATAATTAAATATTGACTTAATGCTGTATTATGGGTAGTGCCTAGCAGATGTCTACTGGGACAGTTTTCTGATGAAGTGCTAAAAGGATAATTACTTTCAGGCAAGTTTGTGCCATTTTCCCATTCAAAACTACATATAAATGTCTTTGCAATCTCTAAAGACAGTTTGTGATAGGAAATTGAAAAGACTCACACATATGGATGTTGTGAATTTAGCTGCCAATTATTAGAGCAGTAGAAGGAGGATATCACCTTGAGAAGCAAACTGCTGTACAGATGGAAACCTTCTCTGTAATCCAAGAATAGATTGAGCTTTGCACTTACAAGGTCAGTGATCACTGAAATGCAACACGATTGCCAGCTAGAGAATCTGCAACTGGAGGATTACATTTTCCACCATTGTGTCTTCAAGGATATTGACAGTACCCTTATAAAAATATACTTTAATATTTTTATAAAGATTTGACCATGTTCTATGTCCCAGATACTATGACTACCATATGCAATCTGAAGCATACAAATTAATAAAGAAGTTTTAAAAAGGAAAATCATTTATAAACAAAGC